AGTTGTTCAGTTTTATGCTGTCAGTCTTGCATAAATAAACAAGTTGATGCACGTGTTCCGGGACTATGAACGTTGAAACGACGCTCAGCATTACCACAGCCCACCCCCCCAAACTGGCGTGCAAAATTGTTTGCGGTCGACACACCAGCCATTCTTACGTTGGGCAATTTCATGAACCATGCTTCATGCGCCCAATTTGAAATTCGCACTGCCCAACGTCGGCAGCAGTTCACATGCATTTGGCACGGACAAATTTGGAATCACCAATGCGCCATTGGTTTCTGGCATTGGTAATGCCGGGAAAATGCCTTAGTGATGTAACAATCCGCTGTTTATTGAACATATTATGATCGTGAGTGCGAACATCTATGGTGCCTATCGCACCTTCCAGGATACCACTCATTACGGCAGCCATCGGCAGATTACGTAATTTAGTAAACACAAGCGCAGCAACAGCCAACGGAAATTGCTTGTTGTCAGTTCGGACGAGGTCAAGACCGAATGTTTTTTCAATGACTGCCTTTGCGACACAAAATGCAAGGAATGCAGCGTCTAAAGCGTCGAATGATATAATGCCGCCAGCCGCGCAGATCCATCTGACGGTGGCCATCGGCAGTGGTTGCCATCAGGCTCGGTTTTTGCGCCGTAAAAACTGATCGTATTTACGTTTTTACGGGTAAAAATAGTTTTTACGTTTTTACGCGTAAAATGCGTAAAAATACGTAAATACAACGTAAAAACTGCCTAGTGTACATAAGGACAGTACATGCAGATTTACAGAGTCCGGAGAGTGGCAGCCAGACGACTTGGAAGAGGCAGAAGACGAATTTTTGTTAAGCGCCATTATCGCCCTCGCCAAGGGCGAGGTGGACATTGTGTTGCGGGTGCTGGAGATGGCGGAGGACTGGTCATTGTACGCAACTTTTGCCGTGTAATCTACGTGCGGCAGGGAGCCGTAAAAACGTAAAAATAGCCGTAAAAATAGGCTCTTTTGCAAATTTACTTTTTACGCGTAAAAACGTAAAAGTAAAAATGTAAACGTAAAAACCAAGCCTGGTTGCCATTTTCAATGCAATGCAGACGCAATTACACCTGGGGAAATTGCAGGCGATGGCTGCAGTGAGTCGATTACCACATTGCTTTTTGCATGAGAGTCCCAGTCAAATTGCCTTGTGAATGATTCTCATTTGGTAATTATTATTTTTTGCGAGCACGGAAAAATTGCGCACGGATCTTCAGGGTTTTGCAACGCTTTTAAAGATCTTTGGCGGAATGGCGGTAGCATGTAGGCACTCCCGCACTTCACGGATATCTGCATTCCATCTGATATTCGGAGTTCGCAATAATTTCGGAATTCATTAGTCAAAATGCCATGCTGGCTTTCCAGTGAGGAGGGCCCCGATAAAGGTAGAGTCCTACCCCGTTCGCGCAAAACGAATGAGCGTAACCTTAATTGGAGTATCTTCCAGCCACGCTGTATCCACTGGCACGCAATAAATGCAAACGGAGACGCCCAGGTAAGGACAACGCTATTCTGAGACAAGTCCACTGTGTGCGCCTATACACTGTCGAGCTGGTAGTGCATTTCAATGGACACGTGTCTGGCGAGAAGCGCCACCTGTTTGTTGAGCAAATAACAGCATAACGCCTGGCTGCTCACTTAACCAACCAACCAGCCGCAACAATGAAGCCAATACGACTAACTTTTCCTTCTGTCATTTCTCAGATCGAGGCACAGATGCAACTGCCAGCCACCTGCCTTCCCCTAGAAAAGCAGTCCAGGAACGGTCCACCCAATGAGCATCCAAGGCACCACTGCCATGAATCAGCAACCCGCGAGATCCTGCCCACTATTTATAGCTACTATTTCTTGCGCCGACTGGGATGAACTCACCATTACACCATAGTTCGCTGCCATTACCCCTGGTCAGCGGGCGTTGAGCGCGGCCCACCTGGTCTGAGCAAAATATTCATCCAAGACTTCTCGACCACGAGAACGGAGTTTCATCAGAGCAGCCATCTCCCCAAACTTCAGAAGAGTATTTCGCAGACAGCGCCGTTGCGGCCGCCCATATATTGGTGCTGTGGTCGCGATGATTTCCTCCCCACCCCACCCCCTCGGGCGCCCCACCCCGGGGGGTCAGCTGATCGAATAAGGATCTTAGGGCCGCATGCTGGCCTACAAATACTGTTCTAGAGTGCTCAACACTGGTGCGTCAACATAAATTATCCCTTCGATGAAAATCTAAAGCACCGCATCAATGGTAACCCAAACACAGTAAACCCGGCAAGACAAGCAACGCATGTGTACCGCTTATCATCGTCAGCAACAAATCATACGTGTCAAGGCGGGGACATAGTCATCAGCTCCGTACGTCGCCCGTGCAACTAAGTGCTCATGACTTCTTCCATGAGGACCTCAGATAATGCCATAATCCCACCACAGGGCTGCTATGCATCAGAACGCACAAATTGGCTAATTCGGTGTCATCAAACCACCTTAGTCCTCTGTTGCGAATTCCAAGCACGAGAACCCAAATCGCCATCAAGCCCAATGAAACCAATGCTGTGCAGCATTTCAAGTGCTGCATTTGAACTGCCAAATTGTGCGAAACTCTGTTCCACCTAGGTCGGGTCAATGTTCAAGTACTCATTCGCGCCATTCTGCAAAGGCCTTGGTTCCCATTCAACAGCAACGCCAGAAGGCATTCAATCCTGTACGCTCACGGTCAGATTCGATGCACGAATCATCTGAAGGCCTGGGCTCGCGTGGTGGGGGAGTTGCGCTAGAGTGTAAATGCGACCACCACACTTCGATTCTCGATTTGTGCGCGGCCGATTTGTCAGTGCAGAAGAATATTCTTCCACATTAATGTACTCCAAGAACTAACATCATGGTATTGCAGTGTTCGCTTGCGCAGGGGAAACTTTCGCGGCGGTTAAGATGACAGGTTTCGATACAGCAATGGCGCGGTCTGAGCACAGATGAAAAGTGTAAAATGGGCATTCGCTTGCGTGTGCTAGGACACAAATACAGCACTGTGTAACACATCGCAGAGAAATGCTAGTCACAGCAAAAAATAACGTCAAATTGGACGTCAATACGTGTTTGGCGCAAGACGCATTGTTTGAAATTCATTGTTAAAACCGCGGCCTCATGCACCATGATCGAAAGCAGGCTTGTTATTTACACCGTAATTGCAGATCGTATTTACGTTTTTACGCGTAAGAATGGTTCTTAGGTTCTTATGCGTAAAAACGCGTAAAATATGTAAATACAACGTAAACGCCGCCCCTTGTACGTAAGGACAGTACATACAGCCGTCGGGTGTCCGGGGGGGAGCAGCAAGACGCGCTGTAATGGGCAGAAAACGAACTCTTGCTGCTCGCGGCCGTGGCCCTTACCGAGTGCGACATTGTATTGCGGGTGATCGAGGAGACGGAGGACTGATCATTGTGCGCGATTTTAAAAGTGTAAGCTGGGTGTCACAACGAGCCGCAAAAACGTAAATACAGCCATAAAAATAATCCCTTCCGCAAATTTATGTTTCTACGCATAAAAACGTTACAGGACGAAAGTTCATCTGAAATATCATCAACTTCAAAATTGCGTACAGTGATCAGTCCTCCGCCATCTCCAGCACCCGGAACACAATGCCCACCTCGCCCTTGGCAAGGGCGTTGATGGCGTTGAACAAAAACTCGTTTCTGCCCCTTCCAGGGCGTCTGGCTGCCACTAGTGGAGAGTACTCTCCGGACTCCGTAAGTCTGTATGTACTGCCCTTATGTACACCGGGCAGTTATTACGTTATATTTACGCATTTTTACGACTAAAAACGTAAAAACTATTTTTACGCATAAAAACGTAAATACAATACGATCAGTTTTTACAGCGTAAAAACCAAGCCTGGCAAGGCGCTTTCCACACAGGCCTGCATTCCTGTTGTCTTGCCACGCAGATCAACCTTTGTCCACCATCCTGTTTTCCTTTCCCTGTTTGCTGTACGCTTCGTGCACACGGAAGAGAGCATTGGGAAAATGAACACCTATGGAGCGTTTCTGCTCTGTACGTACCCGTCATCGCCTTCCACGGCTTGGGTTTTTCATCAGATATTTATTTCAAATGACAGGGCAAGGAGGTAGCTTGAGTTTGTCGTGTGTTGTGGACACGCTGCCATCCGTGGCATGGGGCACATGCCCCTCATCCTTCGAGGGCGCAGGTGCAAGCTTAAGGCCTTAAGGCGCAAGTGGATTGTTCTTGCGCAACAGCGCTTCCCTCAGTTTATCGTTGCATTGCCACGTTCAGGACTAACATGTCGATTGTCTGTCTCGCGAAGGCAAACGAAAACAGAAAGAAATGGGACCCTAGAATCGCGCGCCCCCTCACCCCCCCTCCCACACACACACCCTCAAGGGACAAAAAGAAAGCGGTCGGAAATTGCTTTCCCATCATATCACCCCACCGCCACACTGGGGCATGCCCAGGCCGGCGTCTTCGATCGCCTTCCCTAGCCCCCTCCAAGGCGCGCCCTCCCGCTCACCCTTCCCCCCGGCCTCCCAGTCCAGTGGACGCCCCGTCTACGCCTCTGCGCTACCCCCCAACCCCCCATCCACCACCCGCCCAAACATCCCACCCGGTCTGCCATCCAACCGCCGAAGGGGGGCAAAGAGCCATCCACTCCTGCCCAGGCGCGACGATCGGCGCCTGCGGGATCGCTGGCCGCCTTTCGGCGCCGTTCGGCCCGTGATCGGCGCCGGGGCTGGACGGCTTCACCATTGCCGTTCCCCCCCGCAACCAGTGCCTGCCGCGCGAGCTCTGGTCGTGCTGGTCGAGCCTGGGGCAGGCGCCGGGGCCGCCGGGCGGTGATGAGCGCGGCGCCAGCGGCGGCGGCAGATCGCCATCGTTGGAGGGAGCGGGGGCCGATCGGGCGATCGCGGCGCCGGCGCCTGGCGGGGGCGAGGCGGCGAGCGGCGAGCGGCAGGGGGCGGTCGGGGAGGGGATGAACGGGATGCGGGGCCGCGGGGGCGGCTACGCGGGAACGGGCTTCGGGGCCGGGCCGCGCAGCCACAGGGCGCAGAAGGAGGACCGCAAGGTGGCGGTGACGTTTGGGCGGGGCGACGGCGATCAGGTGAGGACCTGCTGGGTGCGGGACCCGCTGGAGGGCGACCCGCTGCGTGCGGGGTGAGGCAAGGCCCGGTACAAAAGGAACGGGTCCTGCGAAGGGGAGCCCCTCCCAAGCAAGTGCATGCGAGACTCTTTTCCTTGCTGTTGAGAGGATGATGCAGGGTCTCCGCAGGGGGGGGGGAGATTTGTTGCACTCAAATTGAAGAATAGGCAAAATACAAATGGCAGCCCCTCCTTTGTGTGATCTGTGGTTTCTTGGAGGGGGTGGGGTGGGGACTGGACTTGGGCGGGGTGGAGCAGATCGTTGATGGAATTGACTTGTTGAGGGCTTTTGCGGGAAATTGTGGCGGGTTGGTGTCTTGTGGAGAGGCCCTCTGCGCCTTCCGTGGGTCTTTGGAGTTGATGGGTGCACAGGAGTGCAGGCACAGTGTCGACCTGCTGGCCTTGAACGGGGATAGGGACGATGCCTGCTGTCAGGTTGCGTTGTTGAATGAAGATAGGTTGTACAAAGGGCAATCCCCTCATGAGCTAGAGTTTTGTCACAAGCTTTAAGTATGGTGAGTAGTGATGGAGGAGTCTGAGTCCACCAGGAACATCACGTGAGAGTGGCGCATTGAGCAATAAAACATGCACTCAGGGTTGTCTTGTGGTGCTCCATGCTGCCTCTCTGTGGGTCACGTTACTCTGCATTTCTAAATTGTGGTGTTCCTGTCCTTGCAGCACTGCAGCGGGATTCAGTCTTTGGTGCTGACTGCTGCTGGGGATCGGCTATTCACAGCTTCTAGGGATGCAACTGTGAAAAGGTGGGCGGCTGGAAGAGAGTTGGCTAGGGAAGACAAAAAATGGGCAATTCAATGGCCACCACTTGCCAGCCGATTCCCTGCATCAAATGGAATGTAACAATGACAGCCAAGTTTGGTGCCAGCAGTTTGCATTCATGTGCAGGAAATACAGTCATAAGATTCCATAACAGCAAGAAACATCCAGCAAACAATTCTCCAGAGGATGGATGTACGGCAATGGGCATCCCCATTCCCTTCCATATGTCAACGACACCCCTTACTACCTGCAATGACGATTCAGAAATGTGAGAAGGTGGCCAATTCGTGCAACAATGCACCCAAGGGTGAGGGAAAGCTTGTTGATGCTATTTGGCAGTGGACCTGAACGAAGGAGATGAAAGGATTTTTCTTGCATCCTGTTGAGAGCAGAAGAGAAATCAGAATATGTAAGGAAAGGAAAGGAGAACTGAAGGCTTCGGATTTGCCTATAAGTGCGTGTGGCCAGTGCAAGGAAGCAGCAAAATGCAGATGGGGAGGTGTTTCTGTCAAATAGCGGTAGTCGTTTTGGATTGCATCTTCCTTGTGGGGGAGCGGAGTGCCCATATACCTGGCACTTTCCACTTGTGTGCAGTCAGTTAGGAGTACAGGTGGCCAAGCTGGCCAAATCTCTGTCTTTGTCAGTGAAGCCTCCAATGGCCACCAACCATCGGGCATGTTTGAAGCAGTCATTTGCCACCTGAAAGACACTCCACACTGCGAAGGGAAAAGGGAGCCTGGGTTTGGCTGTCACATTGTTTTTAGGGATTTTTCTGAATTTTTTCTGATGTTTCTCTTTTGATCTGGGGTATGCATGCTCCACGCCCGCAGATGGCAGCCCTGTTTTTTTAAATTCCAGCCACCTGTGCGCCAGAATTTGTGAAGGGTCAGCATGGCTGATTATGTTGTTAGCTCTTTGCTGAAGGCTGTGAGCGATCAGTTGAAACTGCAGTTTGGCTGAGGGTCTAGGGTGCTCAGATTGCTGTGCAAATCGCGGTATGCACCTGCCAGCCAGGATATTGCAGCTCCAATTGGATGCCGTGTGGTTCCCACGTTGTACATGCCATGTGGTGCCCACTAGCCATACGAGAACCCCCCCTTTGGTGTGCTGAACATTGCACATTCGTTGCCTTGCATCCTCACAAGCACGTTACAAAATACATTTTATGCTGGTTGATATCAACTCACTGCCGATGTCCATTTCTCTGGTGTGCTTAACACGGGCACCAAGCCTGCGTGTTAGGGTTTTGTCCTTCGGGCCGGATGGTCTATTTGCTTGCCACGAAATGGCTGGCATAGGCCAAAGCTACATGCTCTGATGCAGTGGATGCAATGGGATGGTGTGTGCAAGTGTCCTGCCAGGTTGCACCATGTTCATTACACTATTGGGCGAAACTGGTGGCTGCTGTCCCTTCTTTTAAATTGACAATTTTGGGAGGCTGGGACCGGGCTCAAGACATCAATCATGTAGCAATGCCTGACCGCACGGGTGATGAGCAGCTGCAATGAACGGATGCACAACATCAAAATGTTCTTGATGTATACATGCCTGCCATCTGCTAGGTGCAGGTGCAGTGGTTTGTCTTGTCAAAAAGCAAATGTATAGGATGACAACAGATTTGGGAAGTTTTTGAGCTGGGCAGGGTGCTCTCTGTTGATATGAATTTCAGAGTAGGACAAGGAGAAGCCAGAGATTGCATCTGTGTGCAAAGCTGCTCCTTTCCCCCAGGAGCTCGGATGGTAGCTTGGTCAGAAGATGCCCTCAGCCCAAATTGTCAGCTGATAATGGGTCGGAGTTCAATGGTGTCACTGTTGTGCGAAAGAAAGCAGACCAGACATGAAAATTCAGGAGGGTGGCATGGGGTTAGGGAAGACTTTCAAGGTGGCTCTGCTGTCATCATTGCCAATTTTGACAATTGGTTGTCTGGTTGCATTGCAGGTGGAATGTGGAAGAGGGTCAAAGGCCCAGGTTTGAGACCAGCTTTGATGGCCACAGTGAATGGGTCAATGATGCAGTGTTGGTGCGAGACAAGCTCCTTGTGACGGGCTCCTCGGACAAGACGTTGAGAGTCTGGGATGCCCATTCTGCAGGTACGCTTTGTCCAGACGCACAGCAGCAAGCTGTGAAGATGGCTCTGTTGCATTGCTTTTCCTGTCACTGTTCAGGTTCGTGTAGGCTACTCATGCAGTGGTGCTATTGCTTTGTCCCATGCATGTTTACTTCTGACATGTCCACAACATGGCAGACCATCCCTCAAATTGGGTCAGCATTGTCATGAAACCAATTGAAACTATGGATGGATGCATGCAAGTGTGTGTTTTGTCAGAATACCTTTATGACAATGGAATACTGGTCATGCGTTGAAGCACTCTTTCCAAATTGATGAACATTGGGTTCTTATCCACGCTCCAGTGCCCTGATGGGCCACTGGCAGCAACCTTAAGGGAAGGAGCACATGTGAAGACAACAAGCGTGCACTCATGGGGAATGTGTGGCGTGGATGGGTGGTTGTAGGGCCTGGACTGCAGAAATGCAGAAAAAACTGTTGCTGTACACTCATTGCAACAGCATTGTAACGTAGCAGGCCATCCAGTGGCAAGAAAGTTGCATAAGGAAATCCAAAGCAAGTACCTTGCTGGTGTGCGAAATAACCGGTGCTCCTAAGAATTGTACACCGCAGGGGAGAAAGCAAGAGAAAATGTTTTTGGTCAACCAACAACATGCAAGTGACAAAGGGAGAACTGTAGTTTCATGATTATTTGCTCTTGTCGAATCACTGGGGGATTAGTGAACCAAAATACTAAAAAGGCAATGCAAGATCCAAAACCAGAAAGGCAACACAAGATCCAAACTCCAGCACAACACACCACGACGATGTCTGCAGCATGGGCTGCCAAAGAGGAGTGAAGAAGTACAGCAGGCAGAAATCAAAGGCCTGGTGGTTTACAGGCAGCGGACAATCTAGGGGAGGGGGGTAATTGACAAGTTGCACGGAACAGTGAATGGAGCCTGTCAAGAGTTGCGGTGGGTGCTCCCAATCCCGCCAAAGAGCCTGCAAGGATGACTTTTTCAGTCCTCGGGCAAATTCTTCGGCAGCATGACTTCTTCTTCAGGCTGTTTGGCAGGTTTGGGATTTCTTGAGTCAGCAAGTGTGTGTGCTTTTTGTCTCGGGTGGGAGGCATGTTGTGCAATTGTTGTGTCACTTACCATGCCGGCTGACCACCAAACACGTTCCACAGCTTTGACTGTTGTCCCCTGAATGGGGTCAGTATGTCCTCCAGAACATGTGGATGTGTACGATGGCAGGTGGGTAGCTGGCAGTGGGCTTGTCTGAGGCTACCTGCTGCGCTATGCAGGTCACCAGATGCTGTCTCGGCAGTCTCATTCGGACTATGTGACTGCCCTTGCTGCTTCCCCAGTGGAGGCACTGGTGGCATCTGCAGGCCTCAGGGCTGAAGTCTGCTTGTGGGATTTGAAGGTACAGCAGGCCCACCGTTTTTGCTTTGTTATTCGAGGCTGGGGTGTGCTCTTGGTGCACTTTTGGCAGTTTACTACACTTTGGATAATGTCCTCCTAAATTTCAGTTGTCAGGACATGGCAAGGCCCTGTCCTTGCACCCGTAAGGCCATGCCAGGGGGTTGCATGTTGTGCGCTGTTCTTCCTGCTACAAGAAGAAGAAACAGTTCACGCAGTGGGTTCCTCCTGTGCAAAAGCGTTTCAGGCTTTTGCCATATCGTGGAAGCTGATGCAGGAGCCCCTACTCAATGGGAAGCCGTAAATCATAAGGGGCAACAAGTTATTGTGTGTTGTTGTGCTGCCGTTTTCGTTTTGTGTTTTGGGCTGTGAGCTGCTTCCATTCCTTCACAAGTGTGTCAGCGTGCTCCTGTGTCCATCTTGTGGGGTCAGTTGCAGGGAAGATGTGATCAAACTGTTGCTGCAAAAGTGAGTCCCATACATGTGCACAACTTTGCATTAATTTAGGCATGACAGCCCTCATGTCACCAGCTGCATTGTTTGCCATTGTGCATGTCTCCAACACATTGTCGAAAATTTGGGTGTGCCTGTTCTTTGTTAGCACAACATTACTCCTGAAAGTGACGATGCACTGCCCCTGCATTGCCCAGAACGGTGACGGAGTGTTTGACTTGGATCACAGTAGTGCGGTGATTTGGAATGAAGTTGCAGGTGCAGAGACATTCCTAGAACACGTTCTCTTTTGCCTGCACCACAGATGTTCAGCTCACGTACTCGGGACTTCAGCACTGCTAAGCTATTGTACTAAGCTATTATACTCTACTGTTTGATGCACAGCATTTGACAATCGCATCCCAACATCCCTGCTTTGCCAATTCTGATCTCTTCCTTATTGGCCTCAGTGTGTGTGTGTGTGCTCGTTATGCAGCAAAGTCCTGAAAAGTTGACCAGCCTGAAGCTTTTTCCACGTGACCCCAGCAAAGAGAAGGGCAGCATGTATGCTGTAGCACTGTCCTCGGCAGGCACGCTCGTGGCGGCAGGTTCATCAGATGACATCACCCGCATATTCGATGCGCGTTCAGGGAAAAAGGTCATGAAACTGAAGGTAGGAGTTACACAGGGCTGCCGCAAACCAGTGGATGGTGCTGTACCACTAAGCTTTGCACTGTTCTGTGCTCTTGTGCTGTTATTGCAGTGCTTTTGCACTCCAATCATATTCTGGAGTGCAAGACTTCTTTTGGAGAATGGCATGGGAAAAATAATAGCTAGTAAACACGTGGTTTCATGCTGTGCAAATGCGCTATATCCAGAACCGTGAATAATATTGGACATTGATAAGGCATCAGTTGGCTACTGGCGTGCCTGACATTTTCGCCGAAGGGCAATGGCTTTGTTGAAGTGTCTCCTTTTTTCTGTCCGTTGCAATAATACCCATGGAATTAGCTATGAATGATTGGCAGCATGTTAATTTTTGCCATCTTGTCCTTTGACTTGATAGATTTGTATATCTACTGTGGCTTTTCTTCTGCAGAATCATTTTCTTGCATTGGACATAAATTAGTGTACATGTCTGGACATTTGCCTATGTTTGCACAATATGCTGGAGCCAGGCACGATCGCCTACTGAGCATAACTTGTGATCACCAAAATGCTTCCTTCCAAGGGCTGCTTGGGGCAGAAAGGGCCTATGTCGTGCATCGGCACACTTTCTCAGGAAAGGCAATTTTGAAATGATAATCTTGTTCACAGGGTGCTTGATGTTGAGCTTCTGAATTGAGCATGCTTCTGTCAGCTGAAATAAGACCCACCTGTGGACCCCTTTTGCAAGCAGGCTTTCCACTGACCCAAGAACGATGGCCTCAAGCATCAAATGTGGGCCACACATTCCTTACCACAGTAGAAACTAGTGTGGGCAGCAACGGATTCTGCACGTGTGCCAATAATGCAGTGGCTTATGGCGCTTTTGCTGCTGTGCACCAGGGTCACACCGGGAACATCCGTGCCCTGCTGTTCAATGCAGAGGGTACTCGACTTCTGTCCGGGTCGTCTGACCACACATTCAAATTGTGGGATCTTGGTCTGCAGAGATGCATACAGGTGGGGATTTAACTGGGGCCTTGTCTCAACTGGGATTGTGTTGTGTTGCATGGTCTTGCCAATAGATTGATGTTCCCGTTGTCGTGGCACCAAGCAGCGTGGTTGATGTGCAATGCATTTTGTGGTAAATGCTTGATGAGTTCATTGTGATGTGGCGAATGGACTGTAGTTTCTGTAGATTACGGTTGTCAGAGTAGCCAACTGCAGCAAATCCACACAACAAATCGAGCTTCACATTTTTCGCCCAGTGAAGTGTCTAATGGAGTGGAGCATTGTGTGGCGTGGGCATGTCTGGCCCGTTATCTTGCAGAAGGAGACGGCCCATGCTTTGATGTCATTGATGCTTTTTTCTGTTTCCTTATTGTACACATGCTTGAACATAACACCATGACAGCATCCATTGCAGTTTACAATTTTGCGCCAGACAAAAGTCTCTTGCAATGCCACAAAATGGAGAACCGAACGTGTGTGCAGTGCCGTTGATTAGATGGCAAGGAGGTGAAGCTCTAGTTAGCATTATCCATTAGCCCCATGCTGGTGATTCTCCAAATATCCACAAACTGTGATGTTATTCCCTCTATGGGCCAACAGTGCTCACCAGAAACCAAGGAGAAGATTAAAAAGAAAAGTGGGGTGGCGACCATGGTGTTAGCACTGATGTCAATCGTATTTTGGACAATCTGCCTGCAGAATAATGCCTGAAGTCGCCCAGGACTTGCAGGGGCTGTGTTTTGTCACTGTCAGACATATATCCACAAAATTGTATAGATAGTGGAAGAATTGTTTTCTGACATGTAGTTGGAATATCACACCACCTGTATGAGAGCGAATCTGTGTTTGTACTTTTTGGTTTCAGTTGTTTCAATTGATTGAGAGTCCAGACACAGGCAGCATCCCAACAGAAATGGGTATTGTGCCACCTCACAGGAAACTGCACAGCAAGTGAGAGCTGAAAAGATGGATCGTATGAAACTGAACACACAACCTCATTCACGAGAATTTTGGCATTCTGGGGCACCCTGACAAATGCTGCCATTTCTTTTGATTGCATAGTGGTCAACAGTGGAGAATTGTTTTATGTCTGTTGCATGTTAGATGATATCCTGGTTTGCATTTGGCCTTGATCCTCATTCCCTGGATGGAGCCAAGCACTGATGGTCAGAACTGCACGACAACAATGTAGAGAACATGATGTGTTTGTTTGTGCCCAGACATGTGGTGTACATATGGACTCCGTGTGGTCCTTGGTCGCCTCAGACAACTTCAATGTGGTGCTCAGCGGCGGAAGGGACAAATGTGTGTACAGAACCAATATGCTGAATCGCACAAGTGAGCTGCTTTTCATGGAAGAACACCCCATAACCAAGATGGTGCGTGTTCTTTCTGCTGCCTGCAGAACGTGTTGGCCTGTATGCTGGCACACGTTACCTGTTGGTGCCCTGTGTGATTGGGTTTGATCGGTGATACATTGAACTGGCAACGAATATGAACAATGGTGCATGACACCAGTTATTGGCGATGGCCGTATGGGAGAGCTGAATCTGACCCTGTGCCTGCTGGGCAACTTCATTCACCAAATGTATGCAGTGCTCGCCCTTTCAACCACGCTACCACGATTATGGGATTGTCAGGGTGGGCATTGTTGATTCCGGGATCTCGCTGGTGCCTTGCTTGCCAGTTTCTGCACAACCAGTTGTTGAATAGAGTAAAAGTGCAAACTGCTTGTGACAAGTATGCTGCGATGATTGCATGCTTGGCAGCAACAAGGTAAGCATGTGGCTGTTCCTTCAGGCTGCCAGCCCCAGTGGTGGATCTGTGTGGGTTGCAACGGCCAGCTCCAGTGTCAACAAGTGGAACATCCCTGTCAAGCTGCCCACAGACTCGTCCTTGTGGAATGCTCCGGATGGTAGCAAAGCTGTGCCAGGTGCTGATCCTCCTGCCGATGCACAACTCATCAAATACAGAGTTGTGGAGTGTTGGCAAACTACTGCCCTTTCATGAATCCCTGTTGACTGCAGGTGTCCAGATGTGACAGGACACTGCCAGGCAATTGGAACCTTGCCATTGTGGCTATTTATGTGTATATACAAATGTACACATCCATATGCATACTGTGCAGGTGGACAACACGAGTTGATTACAAGTGTTTTCAGAGTGAACCCTGCAAATTTGTCAGTCACAATCATCGCCTGCAGTAGGGTGCACTGTTTTGTAACTGTCACGCATGTTGCCAGCTTAATTTCCAAGCTGATGAAATATTTTTGCCCTGCTGGAAAGGTCGACCACATCTGTTGCACGCATCTCACCGTCGTTCATCCGATGTGAGCAAGCTGCTTGACCCGCTTCAACCCAATCCTGCTGCCACGATCACTGGCCTCCCTGGTGGGCACATCGATTTCCAGTCTTTGCAGTGTAGACATGGCTTTCGTTGGTGTATAAGATCAATGATTGAGCAGATCCCACTGTGTTGCTGGCAAAGCTTGAGGGGCCAGACACTGCACACACTGATTTTGATACACCGATGAGCCATGTTTCGACGTGTGGGATGACCGTATGTCTACGCCCACAGAGCATAAGGAATTTGTCACATTAGTGGAAAAACGGCAACTTACAAAGCAGTGAGAGGAACAGTATGGCCCCACTTTGAAACTAGCTTGGCTGTGTCTCTGCAGCTCGAACTTGACAGCAAAAAAATAAGCTCAGACAATAAAAGCCATTCTTTATGGAATTTTCTCGGTGTGATCTCATCGCCAGCCACATGCAAGAGCGTGGATAGCCACGTGGACCAAGAAAAATCTCAGGATTGAGGTTGTCTTCTTGATGCTGTGCTGTGCAGTTGTTTATTGAGTGGTTTGTCACCTTCCTCGGTAATGTGTGCACTTGAAGTTGCTTTGTCAAGCATGACCAATTTGTTCACAAGATTTCCACACGAATGGCCAAGGACTGACTGGTTTTCGTGACTGTGCAGCGATCATTGATCGTGCGGTCCTCAGGAACCAGCGGCACCTGCTCTTGAAGGACCAAACTGGGGAAGTGACGCTCCTCGATGTCACATCTGGCAGAATCGTCAAAAATTACGGAGTTGTGGATTTCAAGACCATGGAGGCCGACCTCTTTGAACCCAACTCAGTGCCAAAATGGTTTGATCATGACAACAGGCTGGGCATGGTCACAGTGACGCTTGAGACCCCAAAGTGCTTCTTTGCTGAGGTGTATGCGAGGGATTTTGGTGTGGATGCACCAGAGGACAGGAGGATGAACTACGGCGATGGGATGCTGAGGGGCGTGTTCGCCACATGGGCTTTTCACAGGAAACCTGAGTTTCTGGAGCATGCTCCGGGGGACAGCATGGACCTGTGGGGAAAGGGCTGGGCCGATGCTGAGGGGAGGACGATGCCAAGCTTCAGGTTTTGGGAGCGGACGAGACCTGCTGGTGAGTGAAGTGAGCATGCATTGATAGCAGTGATAATTCGTTGGTCTTATATCCACAGAAGTATGGTGGTGTCCATGATGGGCAGGTGCATTGCTTTTCTGCCACTTGTTTCATCTTCCTGTTGGATGCTCAGGTGAGGCAAGTTGGGTTGGCATCCTTGCTGGCCTTCATTTGTACTCTTCTTGATGATTTTGGAATGCTATTTGTTGACAATAGTTGACAAGTGCTCAGCACGATGGAATTCAGATCTGACAATCGTGTCAGTGATTCCAGCAGTCAATGACCATGTGGAAGCACTGAACGTGGCCAACAACATGGCCTGAAAATGCTATCCTGGCCATGAGTTGTCAGTGCCAATGTCGTCCTGCAAATGACAACCTCTTAAGTGGCGTGCTGATGAGTTCAATTTGTGGTGATTACTGCAATGTTGCTGTCGATGTAAGATTATTATTGACACATTGTATAACCTCTGCTGGAGTTAGTTCTCATCTATTTGAGAGACAAATTTCATCATGAGAACAGCCTAAAAAAGTCACGATAGGAGTTCAGAATAGAAAAGATTGGGTCATAAAAGCCTTGACTACCAATGTTTAAGAAAAATACTCAGTCCCACTACCTATGGGGCGCCCTTGGAATTGACTGAAATTCAAGCGAAATATGTGTGCTCTGTTTCGCCGGCCATCAGAGATCCGCACGGTTTTGGGTCGCTGCCATCCCAGGCATGCCAAAGCAAAGTCGTTGCCGTCAGGGCGAAGGGCAGTGTCCCTCATGTGGTATAACGCTTGCCAAACAAGCTCAACTGTGTTGAATCCCCATCGAAGAAGCCCGTTGTCGCCTCGTCAACGATGGCCGAAATCGCCACCATCCCTGATCTCCAATGCTCAGACTTGCCACAAGCAGAAAAGGCCACCACCCAAGATGGTCAAGCTTGGCTCCGTGCAGGCTATCACTCTAGAGCTGGCTGTAACTTTGCTTTCACATTGCGCCTCGATTGATCCTTGAATCGATGCTTTCGCGTGTGGCTGGGCCCACACACCAGAAATTGCCCCTAGCACCCAAGTTGTACGTGCAGTCTGCAACCCTTCGCAATCTACCCAGTCTCTACTTGTGAGAGAGGCATGAACATATCTACTTGACCACTCCCTTCACGCTCCACCCTTTCAATTGTCGAGGCAAGGGTCGACTTCGCCATGTAGAATTGGAAGCCATTCCCCAAATCGTCCGCTATTGATTAGGGTGGTGGCCATCGCATTTCTTCGAACCTCTTCAAGGATCTTGGGAGGCCTTGTGCAATATCCCTCAAAACGATGATGGAGGTTCAAAGGTCGCAGCCCAGAAATCTGGGCCAGAAATGCATCCCCAAAGTGGCTAATCCATCTCGAATTAGCTCTGCAAAGCCATGGTGACTTCCACAATCAAACCCTCCAAGACATGTTGTCTGCCACTTTGCTTCTTTGCAAGGACCTCTCCGAGCTTCTGTCCAAGTGGCATGGATAGTTTTGCGCGGGCGGCCTTGTTTGGGCATTGCAAAGACATGCTCCTCACCATCACGGAGAATAACCGTTCTGGTGACTTTGTTGAAAAACGGGCGGGTTTTCGGCCAGAGGACCCCCACTACAAAATACTGTCAAATCCTCAATACTTAATGGATGGACTTGAAATTTTGACCGTGTACTCCAGAAACATGGGTGTAATCTTTGGAAGAAATTCCATTGAACCATGATGGAGAAGTAAGGCACCAAAATCATAGGCGACAATTAATTCTGGATGGATGAAGTATATCAATAGTGACTGCATTTGTAATGGCTGTCCAAATTTGTTTGCAATGGCAGTGTGGGTGTCTTCCACAAACACAGAGGGCGAGGTGTGGCGTGCTTCTGTTCAAATGCTTCCAAAGGCAGTCAACGATCGGGAAGATATACCTGAATGGGTGGCAGAATGCGTCTTGAGGCTCCGAATACCAACACAGAAGAGCTGGAAATGCTCATTTCACCTTATCCCTCTAGATGTAAGTCTGGACTGTGAGCTGAAGTGCTGATGGTCTGGTGTCTACATTGGCGCCCCTGAGACATAACATCTTGTAGAGGCTGCATTTGATGTGATGCTCAGGAAAGTGGTATCAAAGATGAAGTTGCACCAGTCTCACAAGGATCAGCTTCCAAATGCTTATTTCGGTGCTCACTGGACTGCACCCCAATTTGTGGCTAGCTCAATTGTCTGTCTGGTTACTTTGTTACAATATTTCCTGGCCGCAGTTGGAGGCAAGAATTACATCTTTGCGCCATCATCTCACCAGGCTATCGTGGTGGCTTGCAAACTTGGTAAACCGCTGCAGGCAATGTCATGTTTTGCTGAGAAGACATGTCGGTTGCATGTCCTATATTGAGTGCTCTGTTTGTTGACCCATCTGCCACATTGCATTGCTATTTCTGTTACACTGACAGAGTGTTCAGCACTTGAATTAATGCTCATGGAAGTGGAATGCAAGGAATGTTGGTGTTGTTTAGTCCAGCCCTGCACTGTGGCATATAGTTAATGTGGACGAAACTTGTGTGAGCCCAACCTGTTACTGCCAAGACTTCTGTGTGAACATCACAGCGTAAAATGTAGTACGCAGCATTCTTTCCCAGGAGGGGAATGCCCAGTATTCAAAAGGCCCTGCTTTGCTGGAGCTGTGTTGCAGGTACACGTTCTAATATTTGGGGTGTCAAGTGAGCTGTTGTTGTGTCTGGTTGCCGTTACCCTGTGATGCACTGCAGCAACTGTCTCACGTGCTACCCTCAACCCTGCTGTCATAGGACTCCTTACCGCAACTCAACCAAAGCAGGCTGACGGCACCACGCATCCTACAAATAAGAAAGGTACTGGAAGGGGCCAACAATGGGAAAACTGTTCCATTGATCAGTATAGTGACTGTTGATCATTTATGAATACAGAGTCAGCATAACCCGACAAGTGCATTGCTGACCACCTACAGGTCATGCTGTGCTGCAGCGTTGTGATCTGAAACGGTGTGGTGTTGAATGACAAATGTCACCAGTGTTTAGGGAAATTTGGATTCCAGGAATGAGATGTGCAATGCAGTGGACAGCATTGCACTAGCTCAAACACACTACCTGCCGTGGATGTGCAGGAGGAAATTTCACTTCAACAAGATTCTGTGAACAAGTCAGAAATTGCAGCCACGTGAATTCTCAAACAGTTATGTAGTTGGTGTAGGAGTTGGATTTGGCCTTTAGGTGTGGTCGCTTAGTTTGTTTGTCTCATTTTTTCACCCTGGTGTACACACACAATGCCTGTATGATTGGCCGAGCAGCCTTCGTTGTTGACTCTGGCAGGTGTCCCAGTACTTGAAGCAAAAGTTGCTGGAGCTCGACCCCCCAGTCAACGTGGAGATCCCCCCTGTGGACTTTACTGACGTAACCAACGATCCTTACTACACCGAAAAGAGGGATAGCGATGAGCCTTACCAGGAGGTGGTGCTCACATGCAAGGACTATGTGAGTGTCCATGCCAGCGACATGTTGGCACTCCTTTTTCTTGTCTTGTGGACATCAAGCCTTAGGCAGTGTGGCCTGCAGGTTCCTGTGCCTGTTGCTCAGTGCGTTCAACACCCCTCGGAAGGAATTTCGCCGCCAGGCGCTGTACAATATCAATATAAACAGTGGAAGAGGTGCCCAAGGCCTTGTTGGTGTGTTTGAAAGCAGCTCAAGACGCCCAAGGGGTTGCACGATTTGGTGATTCACTAGAACAGCAAGCAAATGCAAGGTTGATGTTGGTTCTCTGGCCTGTTCACAAGCCATGCTTTGCTGTATGCTGGATTGTGGAATTTGGTGTCTTCGAGATGCAACTGCCCACTTCCTGCCAAGAGCAGTGGTGTTAGTACTTCAGCAGAAAACCACAGCATCGTGCTGTACACTTCAGTGCCAAGATCTCATTCTGTAGAGGTTCTTGCAAGGGCGATCAGAGGAATGCCCAACTGTGTTTTGGTCGGATGATGGTGGCTGCCTGGCTGAATGCTACCATACACTGCTGGCAGGTGTGCTGTCAATTGTTCTGCAAGTTGCTAGTTGGGCCGCAACTAGCAGGCCTTGTGCCTTTAACAAAACGGCCATGTCTGCGAATAGGGGCATGCAGACAGACACTGTGTGTCTGTTCCTGTTGCATCTCACAGGGGTACCCCTGTTTGATGACCATGTCCTTCTCACTAATGAACTTGTGGTTGTCAAACCAGAAGAGTACTTTGAAATGGTAGTCCTATCGACAAAAACAAGCATCGAACCTACGAAATTTGTATCCTTTGTCAACGACGCAGGGATTGGATTCAGGCTACATTATGCCATGCAAGCACAATGCTGTTGTGTGTCAATGAATCAACCAATCAGCCGATCAATCAGTCAATGTTCTGGCAGCACGACGCCTCAACACCACAGCAACATTGTGGTCACTTTGAACAGCATGGCAATGTTTATTTCCACTTTGCTGCAGGCGCTGCCGTTTTCGATGAGCGTCGGCTCTGTGATCGAGTACATATGGCGGGAAGGCGACGAGGATCTGGACATTATGTACTGCATGCGAGGAAGAGAGTTCCCTCTTCCAGATATCCCCCCTCGCGTGTCATGACACGTACCATTAGCTGTTTCATTGTACATATATGTTGGCTGGCTGCTGGTGCAGTTGACGGAGTTGGGTTAGCGTTTTGCGTGGGCTTGTGCATTGTGCAAAGGGCCCACTCTTGTGTCGACATCGCGTTCACAGTTTGGCAACGCTAGTTTTGTTTTTGTTAGGGTGTGTGGGGCTGTCTCTGGCCATGGCCTGCCCAGTGTCTGCCACTGCCCCCCAGTTGATTGCCCAGGCTAACTCGTCCAGGCCCTGCTATGGGGCAGGCTCCGATATCCTGTTTGAGTGTGCCATTGCAGTGTTGCACTGATCATTTCCAGTAGCCTCTGTGGAGCAGCCTCCTGCTGCAGCCGTTTGGACCTGCTCCAAAATGTAGAAAGAGGAAAGAAGAAATATTAGTAATGGATGCCAGAGATCGATGCGATCCTCCTGGCATGATGGATGGAAGGGGAGTGTTTGTGTTGGGGGTAGACTCTTTGCGAACTTTAGGAAATGTGTGCGTTTCGTGCAGAGCACGGACGCATTAAGAGAAGCACGGTTTCCAAAAGTGACTTTGCGGCAGGAGAATGCTGTTCCATTTGCCAATGCAAGTGTGGAGAGGACCACAAAAGGGGTGCTCGCGAGGAAGCGCACATGACAGCAAAATGTGCACAGTACTGTGCTGATGGCGGAGGTGCATTCAGCGAGCTCCGAATGGCAACTTTCACAGACAGGTCTATGCAAGGGACGCGGTGTTCAGCAGCAGCAGGGCCTGGGTATGTAGGAATTTCTTGCATGTGATGTAAACTTTCAAGTCAAGCAGGAAAACGTCAGGCTTTCAAGGGAACCTGATTTGTACAAGGTTGTTGGCACACAACACAGTGCCGCCAGTTCCCCAGCATGAGGACGACGTGCACTGTTTCTGTTTGTGAGTGGCAATTTTCAGTGTGTGCCGAAACCCTCCTTGCCAGCAAACAGCCCAAGGAGTTGGGCCCTTCGAACCTGCGGTCTTGGCAGAAGGTGATGTCCCAATCCCAGCATCGCCTTGACGCCGGCCAGCCATGCATGCACTATCGAACGCAGGACCTCGAAGCTCTCGATCCAACAATGAGCCGTCGCCCCCCCACCCCACCCAACCCGCGTTTTGAAACATGATCGCCTCTTGGTGTGTGAACGAGTCGTGCTTTGGGCAGGCCCCTCTCCGCAACAAGGTCTGGAGTCATTTTCTGATCCTTCGATTCCTTAGGGCCGTTGAACGCTGACCGACACCAGCAGAAGATCGTCCAACACGCCCTGCCGCGTTGGAAGCCCCGAAGCCTTGGTACGACCTGGCCTCGAGCCTCGTTGCGAGACTCTGTTGAACGCCAGGACTCCGTCGAGAGATGTCCGTGCATCAGGATGGCCCCTGCCCGCAAGTTGCCGTTACCTCACAAACACTGATGCCTATGCGACCGTGACCGACGCCCGGAGCCCGTCGCCGCGACTTGCCCACCGTCTTCTGTGGCCATTACCCCTCGCCCTCATAACCTTCAACACCGGACGCTTCGGGGATGGCGCGCGAACTCAGCCTTTGCATGCCGATTACGTGGGTGGTGACGGGGGGAAGCCGCCCGCAGTACTTTAGGGCTGGACAGCTTCGGGTCCCTACCCGACGGGGAAACAGCGCCCTTTGCGACGGCCGTAAGCGCTCTATGGTGCCCCGTCAGCACCACGTCTCTCGCCGCCGAAAACACACTTGGGGGGACAGGCACGCCCCGAGCGCACCCTTACGACACGGACACCCTTCTTACGACACGGACAGCTCACAGGCGAGGCACGCGCACTGGACTTGGGGCCCGCAACCGCTGGCTGGACACCGGGGCTGGGAGGGGAAGGCCCGAAGGCCGGGCTGGGCAGTGTGCTGAGAGGGCGCGCAGGCGCCCTGTCGGAGATTTGGGCCACTTGGCGCGTCCCGGCAGCTGCAGGGCCCGCGGCCCCCGGGGGCGCTCATGGCTTCGCCCTTCGCGGACGCGATCAGCGACATGGACAGGCGCCTGCCGGACGCGTGGAAGGGCAAGATGATCCGGTACGGCTCGCTGGAGAGCAGCCTGGAGAAGTGCGCGATCACGCGGCGGCCGACGGTGGAGCAGGAGTTTTTCTCAAAGTTCTGGGCCGAGGTGGAGAAGGTGAACGAGCAGTTCAAGGCGGCGGGGCAGGAGGTGGTGCAGGCGCACCGCCGGCGCTCCAACTGGCTCACCGCCGTGTGGGGCACCAACAAGATGCGGCTGCCGGACGGCAAGGTGGTGGTGGGCAGCGAGGAGAACATCCGGCTGCACTCCAGTGTGTGCCTGGAGTACGCACGGCGCAACGCCGAGGGGATCAAGCGGATCGCGGAGGCCCACGACGAGGTGAACCCCGCTTTCCGCGTCCACGGCCGTCCCTGAATCGCTAGCCGGGGCGGCCAGAGGCCCCCAATTGCCATTGCGTGCCGCATGGCCCGCATACCAATACTGGTGTTTGTTGTGGTCGCAGGCCTGCGGCAATGACGCGGGAAAGATCGTCTATGACTCCATGTGGCGGGACCAGAGCGGGCTGGCGACCTTCCTGCACTCGCCCCTGCTGCTGGAGCTGGAGGCCGTGAAGATGGCCAGCGTGGACGGGGCGGAGGAGGGCGGCGCCCCTTCGGGCGCCGCCGAGCCCGGCGATCCCGACGGCGGCGATCCGCAGGACGGGGAGGGGGAGGGCGGCGACGACGGAGAGGCCCCCAATCACAGGCGCACCCTTTCGGAGCCGACCAGGTCGATGCAGCTCATGTCGGACGTGGAGGAGAGTCAGAAGTGCCCCATCTGCCTGGACCTGCTGTACAAGCCAGTGGGCCTGGGCTGCGGCCACAAGTTCTGCCAGACGTGCCTGTTCAAGGCGGTGATCCCGGGGGTAGCCTTCGGCAGCCTGGCGGGCCTGCTGAACATCGTGCCGTCCTGGGCGCAGTGCCCGCAGTGCCGGCAGACGGGCGTGTTCGAGGGCGCGGCGTACCTGCACGCGCTGGCGGGATACCTGCGGCGGAAGTTCCCGCAGTACTGGCGGGAACGGCGGCAAGAGGAGAAGCGGGAGGACCGCAACGCACGGGCGTTGATCCTCAAGCAGCTGGAGGCCAAGTACGGGGGGCTGGGGATTTCGTACCCGCAGCTCATCCTCTATGGGTGAGCGGCTGAAAGGGAGGGGTTGGGTGGGGTTTGGGGAGTCACATTTGGGGTCCAAGGACCCAGGCCAGGGCGCAATTCTTACTGTGTGTTTCAATGGTGGTGTGGCTGGCAGGTGTACGCCCGGGAAGGAATTGTGAGGCTGTATTATTGGGAGAGTCTTGGGGAACTTGACTGTATTTTAACAGGCATTTGTTGTGTGTTGCAACAGACTGGCACAAAGTCCTCTACAAAGTCCTCTATCGTTGATAGATGTCCGTCCTCAATCGTGCATGGTCGATTGTTTGTGTCAATGCCAGTCCCGCTGCCTGAGCAATAATGGATGCCCCGCAGCAACCATATGTGCTTGACACTGGCCCTATGCCTGATAACTCAGCAGTGCCACGGTGTCAACAAGTCCCCACTTGCAAGGTAAATTGAGCTGCAGCTATCTGGCCTTAACAGGGTCTCCAGAGGTAGGCGAGCAGCCACTAGTGGCAATATAGTGCTGTGGATCAACCACCATGGTGGTCTCATCCAGCCTGAGTACTTTGCGTTGCCTGAGTTTGGCAGTTTTGGCTGCCGACTTCAAGGCGCTGCAGGCACAGCTTCATGCAACTCCACTGTTGTGCTGTGGTGGTGCCTGGACAGTCAAATTCCATGCTTTGTTCAGAATGAAGCTTGGCAGATGATGGCCCTGTTGTGTTAGCGTGTAGCTTGCCAGGGTCTGAGGTTAATTTGTGGGACCACAAAGCCAGCATCATTGACGCCATGACACACTGAGCAGATCGCTCGTGCGCTAGGCACTGCTGAGAGTCACTGTGGTCCGTGCAAATACGCTGCTGCTGTTGAATCACCACCCACCAGGTAGCACAGACTATCATGAGTGGAATGCCCCTGGAACATGGAGGTAACCGTCGTGTTGGTCACTGTGCACCACTGGGCATGACCATTGGATAACTGAACAGTTTGCGTTTCCATGCACAGGCAAAGGGGATGATTAATAGTGCAAGTAATGTTCTGGTACAATTTCGGCCTAACGGGTGTAAAATGCGTGGCTGTGCGTAGACAAACACGATTAATTAGAGGACCTGTTTATTGCTAATCGTCCGAATATACAGCCAGAAGCGCCAAGGCTGTACGTTATTAGCAGCTGCCGATCAAAAGGCCAAATGCGGCACAAACACCAGCTGCGACATGCATCAGAAAAGAAGCACGGCTGAAGAGAGGCCTCTCTTGCCTGCAAGTCCATGACAGAACTATAATGGAGAGTACAGAGCAGTTACAATACACTTGTAAAGACAACATCTGCATCAGTCGGCTGGAAGCACGACTTTCTACGTATATATCACAAGACATCAATTAGGGTCTGTGACAACATCATGGTACTTGGCTCCTGATCATCAACTCTGCTTTGGAGCGTCAGTTTTAGTCATTAGTTCACTCCAATTCCGTTCAAGACCAGTCAATCACCGTCCAACGTCGCCCGCTACACCGAATCTTCCTACCAACCACCGTTATCGTCGCCACCTGGGCACTGTTCTGCGTATCACAGACACGCAGGCGCAGGGTCAACAGCCGGGCCCAGAAGGTGCTCTTCGCGCAAGGGCCGCTGGCCGCCCAGGGCTCAGGCCCACCCTATTTGTCGTGGCGCTCATGAAGTGCTTCGCGCCCTCGGCGGTTGTGCCTTCAACGCAACGCCGCAGCCGGCAAGGCAAAGTGCGGCCTCGTATTTGGAACCAAACCAACTTTGCGTCCCGCTCTAGCATTCGCTCTGGGCGAACGATGCAACGCAAGGCGCGACTGCTTGCAGCGGGTGGTCCTGTGTAGTGTCGTGATTGTCTTGCGGCGTTCAGTGTTCCTATCCGGGAGTTTGGCGCATATCGCTCATCGCCACCCGGACGCGTCTGAAAATGGAACGCACGGGGACCGTCCCTGGCTTCCGGCCCTGGCGCGCAATCGAGATCTCACGACCTCAATGATGCCGTGGTCAAGTAAGGGCGCGCCCCCCTGCCCACCTTGCCGTGCGCTTGCCGCAAGTGCTGCCACCGGATATCCAACGCAGGCAGGAGTTCGCTCCGAGGGACCAGGGGCGCTCCTGGCGAGCCGATGTGCATGAACTCGTTTCGAAACGACGCAGGCGCTGGCGCCGGACACGGGCGTCTGCGCAGACGCAACAACCGTCGACTATCGGCGCGAACCCTGTCCGCGGCTTCGCTGCACTCTTGGCCATTCCAAGGCAATCCGGCTCTGTGTGCTGGCCAGACACGGGCCCAACGCGCGTGGCCGCCCTCACCCTCTCCATGGCGCTGGCCTGATCCTGCGGACTCTGCTTGTCCCGCCTGTGCTCCGGTAGAACGTCTGCTGCCAGGACAACGGGGCGCCTGAGAGAGCGGTGTTGGATGTGTGGGTGTGACCTCTTTTGTGGGCGTGGCAAGGGGTCTGAACATCAGGCATCGTACGCCTGCCGTAGCGCCAGACCGGCAGGGCATCCAGGGCGGCACCCAGACGGCATTCCAGAGGCCGACATACGGCGCCACAGTAGTTTATCTGCGGGCAAACTACTGGATCGACGCGTCCAAGCTGATGCACAACGCTGGAAGCCTCGCTGGCTTTTTTTGTGCCTGACACAGGATCTGAACATCAGACGCACTGCCGGATCCGGCGCTCCGGAGCGCCAGACAGGGCGGGCTTCCAAGACTGGCCAACAGACGGCGGCCCAGTAGTTTGCTTGCAAATAAACCATTAGGAAGACGTGTCCACGCTGATGCACAATATTGTGGGAAACGTTAAGGTGGGAAGCCTCGCCGGTCTCGCAGCCAACTAGGAGCATATGCGGAAGTTTCGGACCCCAGTCAAGGAGAACTGCGGTAGGAACGGGGAGCACTGGAACCCCCATTCTGTAAGTGCCTGGATTTAATCTATCTCCATATGAGGATGCATTAAAAAACAGATCATTGATGCGGCGTAGCCACAACAGTTGGCGCTGAGGAGAGGGTCACGAGCACAGCAACAGTTAACAAAAGATGGTGAGAAGGTTGCCCTAGTTTCCTGCCTTGGCCCTGCTGGTTCCAGCAGCGCCAGGGCGGGACCCAGGGCAACCACTGGTATGTGATCTAATAGATTCCGTGCCCCTTCATTGATATGTACATTCAACGTCGCCCCTGTGCAATGTGCCCATTTCACGACCAGTTCTTGAATGTTCTTTGCATTGCACAATGGCATGCAGCCCTAGGTGCAGGGCGGAACCTTCGAAGGTTCCGTGCTTCCATCCCTTCTAAACATATCGACGCTTTTTCAGGCTCTACACGTTGGCCCAAAAGATCAATTCGAAGCGTTTGCAGTGGGTGCGATGATGAAATTTGCAAGGGAAACGCCAAGAAAGCACATTTGCCCGTTTTCCCGGCTGCGTCAGTTGTAAAACGTTAGGAGAAGTTTCTTGCTGCTGAGTTCAGATGGCTCATCCATCCCCCATTTTCTCTTTAGGGAGAAAGAGCGAGAGCTTGTGGAGAGTCCCGTGAAATGGCAAATGTGCGGGTTGCAGGCTTGACACAATTTGCATCACCCAAACTGTGCCGCCATGTCCTAATGAAGCTATATACACGTACCAGCTCCATTTTGGACATCCCACCGACCCATGGGCAGTGGCTAATTCCTCCGCGTTCGATGTTTGAGACGCGGGTCCAACAGATGAATCCGTACCCAAATATTTGGGTGCTGCTTCGGAGCGCTGTCTCAAGTTTGCCTGTAATATTTGGGTATCATACTCATGTAATGGTACTGTTGTCAAAGCTGGGTTTGGCAAGGGCACTCCCTCGCCAGACCCAATGAAGCAAAATGTTCGAATGGCCTATACGGCAATATCGCAATATCCTATGGCTCCTATTGTTTGCCGAACGGCACAGCACGTGCCATGAACCTCAAGGTGTAAGCCGGTTGTGAAAAATCGCAGGTTGCTGGCCCTCACATTCTCACATCCTCACATTCTCACATCCTCATGATTGCTTCTAAGAGACACATTTGGTCCACGGGTGCCCCTTGGGAATCTTGCACTTACTTGGATTCCGACACTACCATGGCCATCGATGGCCCTCGCACCCCCCGTCTGGTCGAGAAGACGATGCGGTCCTGCTCTGCGACCGCCGAGTTCTTGCTTGTCCGTGACGGTGAGCTGACGGTCAGCAACCGCAAGTGCTACAACTCCGTGATTCAACGACAATCGCACCAATTTTGCTTGCTCGCGTTGCGCCTCGTGACTTGGGCGTCGTGAGCACGCTGCGAGATTGCCCCCGTAGCGTCCACGTCACCCTCGTGATGGCTACCGCTCCCACGCTGGCCGGACAAACCTGTAGAACCGCGCACGGAACTCGCGTTAGGGCGGGGAATACCGCGCCCCGCGTGAGACTTGAGACTCCCTCAGCGCTCTTGACCTCGCATTAACAGACGACCTTGCGCGGTGGCGTGAGCTGTGCGCCCACAGGGGATCGCACACATCTACATACGTAGCCGCCCCCTGCTCTGCCAACCCCAGGCACCCGACCCAGTCCCTTTCCTTGGCGGGCCTCCCGTCGGCGCCGCCACAAGCCGCGTCGGTCGGTGACTTGCATCCCGCCTGCGATCCAGTTTGGGGCAGCGCGTGGATCAGTCGATCGCCGGCATGACATCCCCTCTTGGTCTGCGTCCTGGGCCACAGGGCAGAGGCGCGGGGAGCCAGCCTGTGGCCCTGAACCCCTGGAGCACGCACCGCACCGCTTGCATGCTGGCCGTCCTGTCGCTGTGCATGATCATCGAAGCCGCGGCGCGAGTAAGCGCCATCGCAGGCGCCCCCCTCGGCGCGGAACAGGACGGCGGGAAGGGCAACGCGCTGCCAGGGGGGCTGCTGCTGGTCGTTGCCCTGTTCGAGGCCACTACGGGCTGGGGCGGCCTCCTGCTCGCCCTGACCGCTGCCACGTGCGGCCAGAGCGGTCCGCCGTCCGCGGCGCTCTCCGCTGCATTCTTCGTGCCGGGCTGGCTGGCACTCCTGGC